CTCAGCAGGACAGCGGACATAAAATCTGCGCGCCGCCTTGGAAAGCCACCGCGGCATGGAGCGACTCTGCAAGGGTTTTGGTTGCAAGCGCCCGACCTGCTTGCACACTGAGCTCTTCGAAAGCCCCTGCCGAGCCGAACATGCAGGCAATGCTGATGGCGGAAGTACCCAGGGGATCCTTGCCAAGTGGGTCACAACGACTCTGGCAAAGGAGCCGAACGCCTTCGGCGTTGTCTCCCATGCATGCCGAGATGAGCTCCCACCGGCCATCTGCCGCAGCCTTGGCTGCAAGCAACAGCCGGGCCGCCTCATTGTTCCGGTGGCGGAGGCACAGATCCAGAGCCCCAAGGCCCGCCATCCCTCCATGGCTGGGGTTGGCTCTTTTGGTTACTTGGCAGGGATCGGCATGCTGCTCCAAAAGCCCCTGAATCAAGAGAACCTCGCCACGGAGAGCAGCATAGTGCAGCGGCGACCACCCAGCAGTGTCAACATCAAAGACTGTTTCGAAACCATTCTGTAACAAGAATTCAGCAACCTCATGGGATGCAGGATTACGGTTCGAAGCTGAGTCCGATTTGTTGGCAGGCAGGATGCTGTAGAGCGGCTGCACCATCATCCCTCGCAGCAGCACCGGCTGAAGATTCAAGAGCACGCGGTATCCGACCAGGTCTTCTTCTTCAAGAAGTAGTCTCAGCTTCCTCTGCAGTGATTTCTGCAAGATTGGGGCAAGCTTCGCTTTGTCCCCAGATTCAGAAAACATGCCCTCGCCAGGAGAACTACCTGAGAAGCCCATGTGGGAGGCCAACTCGATTTCACTTGCGCTTTTGATCACGATCCATGAGCTGTCGTGTGAGAGCTGCCTAAAAAGCTTCTCTACCAGGCACCATCCCCTTTCGGACCAGGACGATGGAGTGAAGACTTTGCAGAGTCTGGGATTCTCAATCACGGGAACAAGGGCGAAAAAGAATTCACACCTGGCTATGTACCCGGGGATAGAGACCACCGCCTGCTGAAAATCATGATTCTTATCCAGCTGCGGGCAGGAGAAGTAATCATACCAGAAGAACAGCGGCTTCGAGCTGAGCGTAGAGGTGCACAACCCAGAAGTGTTCAGGAACATCTCGGTGTGAATGTCGTGGTAGATGTGCTTTTGAGTGGACATTAGGCTCCTGATGGCATCCTTCAGGACGGACATCTGTCTGAAGTCTGGGTCAGGGCTATTATCTCCAACCCACTGGTGGGATATGAATGCTGCGCTGCCCATACCTTTCTCGAAGGAGATCAGCTCACCCCGCTCCTTGAGTGTTTCATGAGGCTCCATCACTGTCATCTGCAAGATCTCTTTTAAGGGCACCGTGTACATGGGGAAGAGAGTGGCCGCTGCGTCCTTGCTGCCTGCTCGTTGATTCCGCTTCCGCAGCGATCTCGCATACAGCTCCAGTGGTGTGGCTCTCGAGAATCCGCCGAAGCAGGCCATGGCAACCGAACCAGGCTGGGCCTGCAAAGTTCGGGTTTAGGGTTTAGGGTTTAGGGTTTGGGGGTTTAGGGTTTAGGGGTTTAGGGTTTAGGGTTTCTAAATCCTAGACACTTCAATGCACTTGAATATGGGTAGTTTTATAAATTAGGGTCCCTTTTTAGGTCCCCAAGAAAGTACGGCAGCCTTATAAAAAAAGGACCCCCAAAAGGGACCCTAATTTAGAGAACTGCCCATATGCGCAAAGACACTCCTATTGGCCTAAAAGTCGAGTCGACAGCCTGGGCACCTGGAGGGGATCCAAAGGAACAAAAACCCAGCACGCGGTCTCCGGGAGCCTATGTAAAAGGGCGGTAAGAGCCGAGAAGCTGGAGCGTCCGTGTATTTCTGGGCCCGTCAGAGTTTGGGGGTTTAGGGGTGCAGGCCCCGTGTAGGCTGTAGAGTTATATATTACTTATTAGTACGCACGCTGAAGGATGCCACATGCAAGGCTACGCCCTGCGCTGTAACAAAAAGTTTGAAGTAAGCGTGAGTGGTCACGAACACTTGAGCTGGCTTACAACAAGGTCAAGGGGTGAGGGTTTAGGGCTTAGGGTTTAGGGGTTTCGGTATATGCCTGAAGGTGAGGCTCGTGTTCCGACTGGGAAGCCACGCTCTGCAACGACTGTCAGAACCTCGCACCTCGAAGCCCTGACCCCTGAACTGTGCCAAATGCGGCTTGCGGGCGAGCCCCCCTTGTTAATCATGAGATGAGACCCTCTCGAACAAATAACCCCATTAACCCTACCAGAACCCTAAACCCTAAACCTTAAACTCTAAACCCTAAATTCGGAATCCTAAACTCTAGACCCTAAACCACAAGCCCCCCTCAACCCCGAAGCAAATCCAAGAGGATGCCTCATGACACCCTCAGAGTAACAGGATCGAGGTCTTTTGGGTGTCCTTGGGCCCCAAATCAGGGCCCCCTCATGGGCTCCTTTCAGGATTCCTTCAAACGGGCCTGTAGGGGTTCCTGTAAAGGAAGCTTCATAATATCCCGTATGTGGGTAACCCTCTACATTAGGATCCCTTCTAATGTTTAAAAGGGTGCCGTACTCTTTTTGGGACCTGAAAAGGACATTAAAACTAGAAAACCACCCAAACCCCTAAAACCCTTTTTGAGCAGGGTTTAGGGTTTAGGGTTCCTAAACCCTAAACCCCTTTTGCATCCCTAAACCCTAAACCCCTAAAGCCCTAAACCCGACTAAACCCCAACCCCGAACAGGGTTTAGGGTTTAGGGTTCCTAAACCCTAAACCCCTAAAACCCCTTAAACCTGCTAAACCCCAAACCCGGCATGAAGCAGACCAGCCTCGGCTGTCCCATCCTCGTCGGCTTTGCTCTCAAAGCCTGTGCAAGAATCGGGTTTAGTCTTTAGGGTTTTAGTCTTTAGGGTTTAGGGTTTAAAGTTTAAGGGCTTTGCGCAGTGAGATATTTGTGATTTTTTTTTGAGTTTGGGGTGCGAGCCCACTGTGTGGCTCAGAATATTCAGGACCAGAGCTTCGGATTAAGGTGCAGAGAAGGAGACATTCTGTTTAGGGGTCTGGAGTTGGGGCTCAGGGCATGGATTTGGTTAGGATCGGGTCTGGGTTTAGGGCCTGGGGCATGGATTTTGGGTGCAGGATTCAGGATTTATGGGCCTGGATCTGTAGCTTAGGGCATGGATCTGGGCTTAGAGTTTGAGGTCCTTTAAAGCCCCATAACCCACAAGCAGCTGAAGACGCGGCAACGTCCGAGGCTCGAAGCCTAAACAGCTGGTTATGAGTAGACTTACAAGTAGGTGGGGTGATACGAGGTTTCGGGTTTACGGTGTAGGGTTTAGGGTTGAGGAGACATGACTATCGCTGCCTCACTCTGTAACCCTATTCCATGGCGAGGTCCTCTGATACTTTGTGTAGCATCGGGATGTCTCCAGCACGGGGCACTAAGGAATTGCATGGCAGGCTCCCAACCCCTGAATATAGATTTGTCTTTGATCTCAAGTAGTGGTGGTAGTGGTGGTAGCAGTAGTTGTTGTCTAAATTGTGCTGGTAGTGGTGGTAGCAGTACTAGAAGAAGAAGAAGTCGTAGTACTAGTGCTAGTACTAGTAGTAGTAGTAGTAGTAGTAGTAGTACTACTACTACTACTACTACGACTACGACTACTAGTAGTAGTAGTAGTAGTAGTAGTAGTAGTAGTAGCAGTAGTAGTAGTAGTAGTTGTTGTTGTTGTTGTGGTAGTGGCAGCCGCGGTAGCAGTGGCAGTGGCAGTGGCAGTGGTAGTGGTAGTGGTGGTAGTAGTAGTAGTAGTAGTAGTAGTAGTAGTAGTAGAGTAGTATTGTAGTATTGTAGTATAGTAGTATAGTAGTATAGTAGTATAGTAGTATAGTAGTAGTAGTCGTC